CTTGTAGTTTGGGTGCACAGGTCTGTTAAAGTTGTCCCTCTTTGCTGTTCTAAAGGCACTGTAAAATGACAAGAGGTTCTGATCCGGCAAGTGCAAGCTCAGGGCAAAGCCACCTTAATCTTGGAAGCAACAAAAGGGGAGTGAATAAAACCTTTAAGCCTTTAAAACCAAAGTCAAGAAGAACAAACCCCAATGGCCTTCAGAATGGAAAGCAGATGAAGTTGTTCATCAGGGAGTACTGGAAGCAATGGAGATTAGTTTATTTGTGTATTATTTAAATTACCGTTAGCTGCTTTCCAGTCCACCATACACTCAGGATCTCTAGGATTTGGAAGCTGAGTATTTGTACTGAGGTTTCAGATCTCTCACCCCATACCCCCCACCCAAAAAAAAAAAAAAAAAAAAAAAAATCTTGTTAAAAAGAAACTACCTGCATTATGCTCTCTGTGGAGGCTGCTGTAAATGGCCACTCTTCCTTCCATTAGTTTTATTACTGAGAACCTCCCCGTTCTGCCTTTGCTCCTGCTTTAATTGAAGCTTTGCTAGCAGATAGCCATCAGAAAAGACATCTGCAATTCAATTAGATCTGTGCTTAAACTCCTGATCTCTGTGAAACCGGCCGCTGCCAGAACAGAGTGCCCTCCATGGGCTCACTTGGGGCTGCAGCCTGCCGTGCTTTGTGCTTCATCCCCCTCCTGCCCTGCCGGCCCCACTTACAGGTGCTTGAAATGAGTATCCATTCCTCACAGGAGCCTTGTAGGAGCTCATTTTCTCTTCCTTGCATAGCCCGAGAGAAGCTGGAAACTTGGCACCACTGAGGAGCTGTGAAACCTGCTTTATAATGTACTGAAAGTGGTTACTTCTGTACTCTGCAGAGTAGAATCTTTCTGCCACGAGAGGTAAGATGTTAAGGAGTTCCAAAGGTGTTCCAGGGGTAACTTATTGCATCTTTTGCATCATCTTCATAGACATGAAAGCATGATGAATTTATAGGACTGTGTCCATACTAAAAGAAGCTGGGCTTTTTCGCTGACTTAATTCAGTCTCTGGTGCTGTAAGTGGTATTTTCCCTGGTGCCAGCTACTCCAGGGCTACCATTCCTGCTTGCACTGACCCTATGAGGTGACTGAGGTGAGAATCAAACATCTGGGCTGGCCAGAAGTGTTCCTGTAAGGAACACTTCTTTGGAAATATTTCCATGACCCTAGAGGTAAATGTTTGTCTCTAAGTGATGTCAGGCTGGTCCCTGACACGAACAACAACCTTGTTTATAAATGCTCCAGAAGGATGTTGCAAAGTGCTTCAGTGGTCTTGCTTAAAGCATTTGTAAGAACTGATTATAACGACTTGCAAAAATCACAAATTAAAGAAGCCAGAAGGGTTTCTTTGTAGAAAAGATATAGTTGATGAGAACCCCAGATCTGAAGAGTGGTTTGCAGCTCACTGCAAGCTGCCTTCAGGGAGAGGTGGCCCCGAGTTGATAGAGGGAAAACCAAATACTTACCTGGGATGGGAGAAAATCGAATGGGGATCAGAATAATGCAGCTGAGTGAAGCAGATGGGTTGGGGTGCTGTACCTGTCTGTGCCCCCGAGTACAGGGCTTAGCAAAGCCTTGGTGAGAAGCCTGCAGCCGTGGGCTTTCTCTGTCTGCCTTTCACAATGTTGCTGCTCTTAGTTTGTTTTTAATAAATCAAGTGAAATCTTACAGGGGAAGGAATTAGTCTAGCAGGGGTCACTTCTGTTTTAAAGAGTTGACAGTGAGGAGGTTTGGGGCTGCTTTTCTACTGGAGCATCCTCAAAGCCTGCAGTGTTTGAGCTTGCTCCTGGACAATATGGGTTTTGGCAAAACACATGCATGTGCCTAGACCCCCCAGGCCATGCATAGTGAGCCTGTGGGATCAGGAGGTGGAAGGCCTGTAAGACAGGTGATACAGGAGCTTTCAGCTGGCCACTGCCCACCCACCCTTCCCTCGAGGAGCTCCTTGTGGGGGCTATGTCCCTGGTGAGGCATATAGGGCAAGGAAAGGGCTGCACCTCTGCACCCTATAGCCCAGAGGAAAACACTTCCACTTTCCATGGATTTTCTAATTTCATCTCAGCGTGGCTATTCATAGGCAATCTGCAGGTAAAATTAACTTGTACCACAATTCTCTTTGCATCTCACCACACTGCTCCAGTGGCAAGCACCCCTTTATTTAAAATATTTTCCTTCTGGGGATGTGAAAGTACAGGTATCAGTTAGTAATTTAGAGATGAGAAAATTCTTGTATCAATGCTTAAAAACTAATGTAAATAAATATAAAACACTCCGTAGAAGGCCACAGCAGTTCTGCATGCAGTGATACACATCCCAGGGGGAAGGAAGGATCCTTCCAGCAAAGCCTGTCAGTTCATAGCTGTTCCAGCCATAGAATCTAGGGAATTTAATTTCCAATCTAGGCAAAGGTTGAAATGAAAACACATACACCCTTTTGAGATGTTGCAAATGAATACTCTCAGACTTTAATTTTCTTTTCAGAAAAAGAGAAAAGCAAACTTTATTTTGGGTCTAAATTTTCACAAAAATCCATTTCTATATATACTTCAAAGTTTGCCAATAAAGCTACTTGGCAACATCAGTACAGAGAAAGGATATATCAGCTATCATCTATGTTAGAGCAAACCCAGGATAAACCTTCAGTATTGCTAATTTCTGATGACCTTATCATGAAGCCAGATAGATTTGATGTTCCCATTAAAATGTGAGTTCCTGAAATAATGCTGCTCCTGTGAGATTTGTACCTTCTATTAAGAATGAGTCAGCTTCTAGCCTTGGGTTTCTGGGTAAAAGAGCTGAAAATATCAACGAGCTGAAATACACCAAGCTAGAAATCAGAAAAGAAATAACAGAAAAAAAATTTCCAAAATTGTTTTTTAAGATTAAATGACATATTTCACCTGAAATTTTGGATAGTTTGACAGCTCTGAAATCGTGTTGCACCAAACTTGTTCTTGTGCTGTGACAGTGACACAATCTGCCTTTGGTGTCATGGTGCCCTGATCCTGCAACAAATTAATTAAGGGTTTGGGGTTGAACAAACACAGGACTAATCTTTCTGTTTCACGAAGTGAGACTGAATTTTTTTCCTTTATGTGTGACAGTTTTGTGATATTTAAGCATATGCAGGATTTTTAACCTTAAATAACATTTATCTCTCTCCCTCCCAAGGAGCATTTTGTATTTAGTGTGTTTTATCTGGTGACTCATATTATCTGCAAATAATCAAGCTGAAATACTAATTGCTTTTGAAGAGGGAATAAAGGATGACATTGTTCTGGATCATCAAAGGCAATTCAATCTGTTCCTCAAGGCAGGAATAAAGGTTGCAGCCTTGTTTACAAAAATGGGGAAGGCAAGGGGCTGCTCTCTTTCAGCTGTGCAGATGGGTGAGGAGAAACAACGTTCAGATTGGGGCTATAGAATACTCCAGCTCTACTGAGCCTCTTAAAAGTAGCATTTAGTTCAGAGGCAGTGCTCTTCATTCACTCACCCCGAGAGAACCTGGAGGGATTTTATTATAGCTCTGCAGCCTGGGCAGTGTTTGGGACCAGCTGCTTTGTAGAAGATTGCTTCCCTGGTGCTCTTGCAGACTGTGCCCAGGCACCAGGGCTAATGCCCTTCAGTGCCCAGGGCCACCCTACAGCCAGCAGTGCTTTCTCAGTGGCCCCCACAGTGGGGGCAGGTCTGTGGATCCAGAACTCTCCAACAACAGGTTTCCTAAAGATTAGGTTGTGTTTTGAAGGGTCAGGAGAAAGCACTGACTTTTCTGTTTTCCAGAAACTGCTGGCTAAGTTAATGAGACTAAAAAACAGCAACAGCCATTTCCAGCAAAAATAACCAGTGGCAGTAATGGCCTCATCTCCAGTCTACTACATCAGAACTTCATCAGGAGCACAGCAAAGCACAGGAGAGTTGTTTGAAAAACTGGAATCATAGAATAATAGCATTGCTTCTGGTTGGTTGGCAACTCCCAACCCAAACCTCTAGCCTCCCAGGCTCTGGATTTAAAGGCCTGGAGGAGAAGCCATGTGAAGAGCGGCTGAAGTCTCTTGGTCTGTTCTGCCTGGAGGAGACTGAGGGGACCAGACCTTGCAGTCTTCAAGTTCCTCGTGAAGGGAGGAGCAGAGGCAGGCACTGATCTCTTCCCTGTGGTGACTGGTGACAGGATCTGAGGGAATGGCCTGAAGCTGTGTCAGGGGAGGTTCAGGTTGGATATCAGGAAAAGGTTCTTCACCCAGAGAGTGGTTGAGCACTGGAACAGCTCCCCAGGGAAGTGGTCACAGAACCAACCTGACAGAGCTTAAGAAGCATTTGGACAATGCTCTCAGGCACATGGTGTGGTTCTGGGGGATGTCTCGGGATCTCCTCCAGTCAAGATGACCCCAAGACGTGTTAAAAGTCTCTTCCCCAAACCAGCTGTCGAAGAAGGAGTCAGAAGTCTTTGGCTCGTGTTCTCAAGGTTGTTTATTATTTCTTATCTAAAACATTTTCTGTCTGGCCTGCTGAGGTCTGTTCAGCTCTGTTCAGCAGGTCAGTCCGAGGCACACTGCCCTCCCACAGGGCTGGCGTTGTCTTTTATACTATAAAATACGTATTCGATATTTACAGTTATGTTCCAATACCTATCACATATGTTAGACAGTGACTTTCTACTCTACACCAATCCCAGAATGCTACCATCACCAGGAAGATGGAGGCTAGGAATAAGAAGGAAGAAGAACAGGACAACACCCAAATCCATCTTCCCTCCTAGACCCCTATAGTAAAACCCCCATAATTTTTCTTTTCACCCTGTAGCTACTACTATTATGCTACTTAAACTTTTGTGCCTTGTAATTCTTCATATAAAGTTGGTAATTTGCTCCATGGGTTGAGATCAAATTCCCAAGTGTCTTTGGCTTCCTGCCCGGATCTCCCCGCCCCCGCCCGGGTTTTTAGCCATCCAGAGCACCCAGAGGGATGTCCTGGGTTCTGACAGGGATGGTGCTGTGCAGGGCCAGGAGTTGGACTCAATAATCCCGTGGGGTCCCTTCCAACTCAGCATATTCTGTGATTCTGTGAATAATGATTTATTGCACATTACAATACTTACTGCTGGGTTGAAATGACAAATGTACACAATCCTATGGCTTTTGGTTTTGAGCAATTTGCTTTTAAAAGATGAGAGGCTGATCTAAGGCTTAACTTTTCTTGAGCCGCTGTTCCACTGATGCTGGAGAGTCATTTTCCAGGCTGTGAGCACCTGCTGATCTGAAGCATCATGGGATGAAAGCAGACCCAAACATGAAGGGACCTGTGCTTGGTGCCTGTTTGTGCTGCACATACTGACACAGAACCCTGGTGTGCAGCGGCCTGGGCTGTGCTCAGACGTGCTCCATGTGTTGATGCCGCACCAGCTCGTGGTTGTGTTAGACAAACAACTCGCTGTGCCCCCGGACTGGTGCTGCCTTGGGTGTCTGCCTGACCCTGGGTGGTGTGATACGAGTCCTTCAACCCCAGACTGGTTCAAATGCATGCTTGAAATGCAGGGATTTGGGAAGCCAAGGACTTTTTCCTAGCAGGGTTGGGTGCCTCGGATGGCACATGCCTGGAATGGGAGGTGATAACCTGGATCACCAGCACAGCAGATGCCATTGCTGCTGTGGGTGAGGATACAAGATCACGCTTGGGAAATCCTGAGACTTGTTATCTACTGGCCTGGGATTCATCACATGACTGCAGGGACAAAACAGCATAGATATAGAATGACTGAACCTTTAAGGGACCTGAGGAGGTCATGTGCTCCAACTTCTCACTCAGAGCAGGGCTAATCTCAGCATGAGGGCAGATCACTCAGGACTGTGTTCACCTGAGTTTTGGAAACCTCCAAGGACAAAAAATCTACAGCCTTTCTGGGAAACATCTTCCAATGTTGTTTGGGGTTTTTTTCCTAATACCCAATCGGACTTTTCTTTGAAGCAACATTTCTCTTGGCCCACGAAGCTTCTCACCTCATTTGGGGTAAAATAATTTGGAAGTTTCAGATGAGGAGGAGTGCCCATCTTTTCCCACTGGTGAGACCTTGTGCATGCTGCTTTGCTTCTGCTATCCTGGGTTGCAGACACCTCCACCAGCTGCTGTGTCCACCAGAGATAACCAACCCTTCCTCAGCTGTGACTGTCCACATGGAAAGCTGGAATAGCTTCTGCTGACAAAGCAGGAGAAAACCTGCTTTTAGTGAGAGGATGAGAGGCTGGTTGACTTTACCTGCTCCACCTGCAGCTCCCGTGGTCAGGGGCTGCACACTCACACCCAGCCTGTCTGTGGTGTCCATGTGTTGGCACAGGTGACTATGGAAGAGCTCATCTTCTCTTCAGAATGCAAATTAAGATAGAAATTACAATGTGCATGGTTTTGTTAGCTTGTTTGTTTTTCCACAGTGTGTAGCTGCAGTATTTCTGTTATTGGAAAGCCATGGGCTCTCTGTGGAGTCACCCTGCATCCCAGGATAAAAGGTACACATGTATGGGGGGCTGGTTGGAGCAGTGCATTTGAGAAATATGAAATAACCCTCAAGCAATGAACTTATTTAGGAATGACAAAAGAGCTAGCAGGTGATTCCTTTGTTCTCTGACAGAGACAATAATATTTAGTCTATAAATAGGCTTTTTAAAAATGCTTTTTAAGTTGAATCCACCAGAATTTTTTCAATTAAATGTTTTTGACAGGAGACACTGATCAAAATTAAAATAACTCAAAAAATTGGCCAATTATGCTACAAAAAGGTCATGAATCTGTAGGGGAAAAATATAATAGGAATGCTTTCAATTCATAGGTTGCTCATTTTTTTAAAAATCTGGAATTTCACAGTGATATTTTTAAAGTTATATGTTCTGTAGGGTTTTTTAACATCATGGCTGACATGTCATGAAATCATCACGGCGCATAATAACATCTTATCATTTCTAGCTCAGAGTGTTGCCTGTTTGTTGTAGTGAAACAGTTTGGCACCTGATCAAAGTGTCTCCTGCCTGTCTTGTAAAAAAAATAACGTCAAACTTCCATTACAACACAGACAGGAGACACTTTGATGTAGAAAAGAAAGTATGTTAGTGTTTACTAAGTGGCAGATGGTTTTAATAGTTTTAAAATGAAACAGAATAAAAAAAATAATAAGGTTTTCCCATATAATATGCAGGACAAATGAAATGCCATGAAATCATATGAAAAAAACCCTAAACCAGAGATAAAAAGCAGGAAAGAGTATTTCTTAAGAGAAAATAACCTTTTTTTTGGTAAGGGTATTTTCCTTTGTCATTTGCTTTTGACCAGGCTGGGTTTGCCAGGCATTGAGTCTGCCCTGCACTCTGCTGCTGGGATGTGGGCATGGAGCTGGCAGGGCTGTGAGGCTGGAAATGCCTGACTTGTTTAAAAAGAGAGATGAGGTTGACCCATGTGACAAGGATGACTCCTGCGTTGTTGCCATTGGCTCGTTTAATGTCCAAGGAAAATTCCAGATCAGCAAATATGCCTATTCTTGGCAAATACTTTTCTTAAACAAAAATAAAACCCCGAAGAGCTGCCCAATCTGGAGCATTAACTTGAGACAGTTATCTGTGGTACTTGGGGATCTGTTCCAGGAAACAGCGTGCTGAGCTCCACGTCTGACTCCAGCTATTTGAGAAGAGGGTGCCAGCACCACACTGTATGCGTAAGCATATAACAATAACCATTATTATTATTATTATTATTATTATTAGTCCTCCAGCATCAAACAGAATCATATTATAGCATCCAGAAATAAACAGACACACAAAATGCTTCCCGGTGAGAGCAGAGGGAAGTTAGACCAGCTTCAGGCTGGCTTACCAATATGGTTTAAATCAGGACAAATCAAAATGTCCTTTTCTGTTGCAGGTTCTTGTAGTTAGGTAGGTTGGTATAAGCCTAGTGAGGGTTCCTATTCTCCTCTGATAACTCATCCTGCCCTGCTTTAACTGTTATCCAATAATGTGAAACCTTCACTGCTGATTGTAGGATCATTTAGGTTGGAAAAGGTCATTTAGTCCAACCGTAGAGCGACAGCTGAGCTTGCAGCTGCCAGCAGCGTGGCTGGCTGGTGCTGGGACATCCCACTGGTGTCCTACCACAGGCTTCCAGCTGCACAGGCATCTGCCAATTGGAAGAGCAGCTGACTGCTGGCCTTCCTGTATCGCACTGTGGCAAGTCCTCAGAAGACATGAGATGGCCAGAAATGTGTTTGCATTTGTGCCACCAGAACTGGGGGTGTCCAAGCCCGAGGCACAGCTGTGTTTTCGGGACATGTGGCAGTTGGGTTTTGGAATGGCTCTGCTTCCTGCCTGTCCCTGAGGGCCTGCCTGAGCCTGCAGTCCTCCTGTGTGCTAAGATGCTGGGCATCTACCTGCCTGACCTGTCTGCAGGATGGAGCCAGCACAGCTCGCAGAGTGTCCTGAAAACTTTTCACTGTGACATTCCTCATATGTGGCTCTGTCGGGTGCCAGCAGCTTTCCACTTTGGTATTCATACCAGACCTCCACGTGCTTGTGGAAAGCAAGGCCATGGCACATGAAGGGTTACTGCAGGAGGAAACACAGGGTAGAGGAAAGACAGATTTCAAGCCTTGAGTCAGCCAAAAAAGCTGAAATTGTAGGAAGCTGCACTGAAAAGATGAAAAAAATAAAGCAAAGAAAGGGAGATTTGAATGGATCCAAGCCTGCTGAGTGGTATAAAGGAGAAAAACAGTGCCGGCATGAAACTCTTCCAGCTGCTTTCCACAGACCCGGCACAGCAAATTTGTCACAGGAAGTAAAGCAGAGAAAGGGAGTGAAATGGGTCAAGGCAAAGGGGGACAAGGAGGGACGCTTTCTACCTCGGGCAAGGCCAGAGCACGGAGCTCACCTCTGCATGTGAGCCTGTGGCCAGCGCCGGATTTTGGGTGCCCTTGGAGAGGCACAGCAGGGATGTGGATGGGGAAATGTCCCCTGGGACTGGCAAAAGCAGCTGTGTCAGCTGTGTCCCCAGCCAGTCAGGGAGAAGAGCGAGCAGTGGCTGCTCGGCCTGCCTTCTGCAAGGCCTGTCATCCCTCCCTTCATGCAACAGGTGAACCGGGGAACACACACACGCACACACACACAAAAAGAAAAAAAAAAAAAAAAAAAAAAAGAAAAAAAGGAAAGCGAGAAGCCACTCAGTGCAGGAGATGAAGTAGTTATGAAGAAGATCCTTCCAGGTGTGACATGGTGTGTCAAGAGTGTCCACGGGGGAAGGTTACCACTCATGCCCGGTGGGAAGGCAATACCAATCAGCCAGCCCTGCGAGGGACTGAAATGTTAATGGTTAATGACTGAAAACAATGGCCCATTTGTGGAGGCGGCAGGGTGCTTTGCACCCCCAGAGGGGGAGGAGGTGAGTTTTTGGGCGTGTGATGGCAAACCTCTGGTCTGCATTAGGCGGAGGGGTGAACAATCACCACCGGAGGCTACAAGCCGGGCTGTGAGGCCGATAAGAGCAGATCCTCTGAGGTGGGATGGTGCTTTTCATCATGCCAGCTGCCCTCCCTGACACAAGTCAGCTGTAAAACTGCCCCCACACCTTCTCCTGGGAAAGGTCCTGAGGGCTTTCATCCCTCCTGATGGGGCGTTCCTGGATCAAGTGCACTGATGTGAGAGGGAGCTGTCATGTCTCAGAAGGTGTCACAAACCATCAAAGAACCCCAAAGTGCCCCCAGACTAATTTCTGAGGTTTTCCACCAGAGGACTGAAAACTGACCCCCAGGGGAGGTGCCAGGGCCTTTCCACTGAGCCTGAGTGTATTTGAACCCATTGGACTTTGTGTTTCACGGGCTTTTATCCCACCCCAACAGATCAAGACTGCGATCATCACTTTCACCCAGGGACACTAAATGGCAACAATCAAGTCTTGCCGTGAAACCAATGGGTGGTGATATGTTTCTACTCTTACCGTTTCTTTGTTTCTTCTCCCTTGCACATTTTTGAGTGGTATTTTTATGTTTTCATATTGACATATTGCTGTAGATAACAGTAAGCAAAACGGCTGCATGCCTGCTTTCCATTGCGACCAAACTGTTCTAAAATAAGCCCTACGTATATACATATCTTTACAGACACTGATCATCCAAAGTCCTTTCACTCTAATCCACCCCAAGGGATCTGTTAATAAGAACCGGGGCTGACCTCACCTTTTGGGGTTGGGCGTGACAAACCCCTGCTGGATGGGACCCTGGGGCTGTGAGCCCAACTCCGGGGGGGATGGGATGGGATGGGATGGGATGGGATGGGATGGGATGGGAAGGGATGGGGAGCAGTTACCAGCGAAGAGGACGTTAGATGACATGCTACGGTGATGCGGAAAAAATCACTGGGAAGAGAATTGATGGCTGGTCCCATAGGAAAAGAAAGCTACAAGAAAGTTGGAGAGGAATATTTTACAAGGATATGTAGCAATAGGACAAGGGGCAAAGGCTTCAAACTGAAAGAGGGTGGGTTTATTTTAGGTATTAGGAAGAAATAATCTTCTTTGAGGGTGGTGAGGCACTGACACAGGTTGCTCAGAGAAACTGGATGCCCCATCCCTGAAAGTGTTCAAGGCCAGGCTGTATGGAGCTCTGAGCAATCTGATCTAGTGAAAGGTGTCCCTGCCCATGGCAGGGAGTTTGGAAGGAGGTGATCTTTAAAAGCCCCTTCCAACCCCAACCACATTATCATTCTATGAAAAAGGTTTGATGGGTAAAAGCCACGAGGTTCATGAATCTGTAGCAGCCAACCTGAGATGCATTGTGTGCTTTTCACCTTTGGTATTTAGAAAAGTCCCATAAGAACCATGCTAATACATAAAAGATACAGGCCTGTGCATATAAGCTCTGTGGTCACTTAGGGTCCAGCCTGGGAAGAATTGAGCAGGAAGAGGATGGAAAGAGCTTTCAGTGGCATATACCAACAGAAACAAAAGCAAGCTGTTGCTCTGCTCTTGAAGGTGGCAGGTTAGTAGCAATGGCCTGAAGCTGAAGGAGGAGCAGGACGCAGGTTAGACTTTGGGATAAGGGCTGAGCATTGAGAAGTCACCCACTGGGATGAAGCTTCCTGGACTTACATAGATCTTGGCAAGTGATTCAGAAATGGCTTCTGCCAGCAGGAAATGTTTGCCTAAACACAGCTCCCCTGGCCATCTTATTAAAGTTGGAGTTTCCGAGAGACAGCACTAAACCTATGTCATTATCAGTGCTGTCTTTTCAAGTTGGGTCTCTAGATAATAACACTAATTCTGTTTCTCAGGCAAAATTTCCATGTGATTTGCTGGAGGCTGTGCACAAAAAATTAATGTCTCTCAGAGTTTGATACTACAAATGTTTCTGCTCAGAAATCAGTCTGTTGATTGAGGAGGTCATTTCATGCTAGAAAAACTGTGTTGTCTCTGAAATCCAGCCATGAGCTTAGGGAGAGGAGGCTACCTAGTCAAGTGTGAGCTGTTTACTTGGTCTCCACCAGAACATGCTTGAGCTCCTGTGCTCACTGCTTCCTCCACTTCCTCCTCCTCCTTCTTGGCATCCCAGGTGCTCCAGGGCAGACTTTGTTTTCCTACAGGGCTGGTTCAGTGTGATGATAATGCAGGAAGAGAGCACAAGAGACAACTTTGTGCTGTCTGCCCAAGGATCCTTGAAATGGCTGGACACCTCGTTGTGACAAGGAGCAATAGTTTGGAGTTAACGATAACTTAAGACATATATCTAAGAAGCTGTTTATAATGTGTTTGTAAATAATTTCCCTCTTAGCTAAAGGTCACAAGGTCAGAAAGCCACAGAAGTCCAAGTATGGCTGTTCTTAAGCACCAATTCCAGCTTGGCCAGACTTTGCTGAACCCTTGCATGGAGATAGCCTTACACAGTGATTTGTACTAACACACTTGTGTAGAAACATGCTGGGATACATCCAGCGTGACCACTGGAACATGTAAAACATGCCTTTGAAAGCAATGCAAGGTTTGTGGAAGCTTGAGTGGGTTGGAAAGGCCTCTAGGTACCAGCAGAGCACAGCACAGCTCAGGGACCAGATGTTCCAGTCCCCTGTACCCCACATCCCTGCCTGAAAAGGTGGCCCATTTCATCCCTATTAGAAGTCTCTAACGAGCTTATAACCTAAAACTATAAATACAGGAGCAGATTTTGTCACCAGGGCTCATCCAAAAGTCTTCCCTTGAGAGTGATTAAAGCTATTGCAGATGGCAGCAGTGACATTTGCTGCCCTCCCAACATCAGATAACAACCCTCAGGAGAAGAGCCCACCAAACCCCTTGCACCACTGGCCAGGATCCCAAGTACTGAGCAAACTCCCACCAGCTTTCATGTCCAGATGTGTTTTCTGTCAAGACTTAGTAGCCATTAATTGTTGAACGCTGAAAGTTTGGGGACGAGAGGTAGCAAATCAAACTTTATTGCTGTTTCCAGAGCTGCTTCCTAAGGCACAAACACAAGTTTCAGGGGGAACTATGCCAGGCTGGTGACTGCATTCTGTTTTCCTGCTTTCCCTTGATGCCCACCCTTTGGAAGCATGTTCCTACCTGATCTGCAGACAAAAAAAGCCAGAGAGAGCCAGCAGCTGGATCCTACAGGAGACTTCTCCTGTGGCTTCAAAATATGGGTGGGGAGAGGGAAAAAAGGAGTTTTCGGTTGTTACTGCGTTGCTCTTTTGCTCTGCTAGCTCATGTAAAAACAGATGCAGAAAGACAAGATAAGGAACTCTGTGGTTTCATCTTGTAACCTCAAACAGCAAACACTCCTCAAAAACAGTTTACTATGTGGTCACATTGCTTCGAAGAAAGGATAAGAAGCTCAACTGAAAAAAACACAATATAATAATTGAAAAATAATATTTAATCACAGAGGAGCTATAAATAAAATAGAACATGCCCTGAGATTTGAAAGCCTCAACAACTCAATAGCATCTCTCTCTCAGAAGGTTTCTTCTTCTTTTTCTCTTGTAGAGATGCTTCAGTTGCTATTGATACAGGCACCTCCTCCCAAAAACTGGCTAAATGGTTTACCCACCCCCCCACCCCCCAAGTCCCATCAAAATAGATGCTTTTCAGCATGTGCCAGGAATAGCCTTATGTGAAATGTGCTAAGACATTGCAACTTCTATTGGGTTTATTTTCTATTGGGTTTATTTTGAGTGAGTACGATGAAGCAGCATAAGGCAGGGCTCTGAGGCTGGGGACAAATGTGGAAAGGAGAAGTTCATTAATTTATAGTAATTTTGAACTGCTGAGTTTCGTTTTCATGTGTACTGCTAGCATGGCACTACAGAACAGGTTGAAGATTTAAAAGAAAAAAAACAAACCAAAAACCATTAAATACCAATATGTTAACTACAGCACTTGCAGCTTCACAGAAAAAAACAGATGTTCTCTAAATGCAGATGTTGCCAGTTCTGAAATAACAGCTGGCATATACTGATAATTACTAATTGGACTCATCCAGTCAGTAGAGCTTAACAGCGACAGAGTAAAGGCAAAGTAACAGACTGACTCCTTCCCCCAGCTCCAGAGAGTATCTGAATTTCTACTCTGGCTTCCCTGTCTTCTTCCTTTTCCTTGCCATTTTTAATTTCAGCCTTCCAGCAGCTTCTGTTTCCTGTGCCCCCATGCTGGGTACCCATCCCACAGATCTTGTGGCAGGTCCCTGCTGGCACCTGCCAAAGCCACCCCGTCCCCAAGGCAGCTGCTGAGCAGGGAAGGAGGTTGAGAGCAATCAGCCTGAGGGGTGTCACCCACACTGGGCCCCCTCCCACTGAGGGCAACGTGTCTGCCTGATGCCAAGCATGGAAACTGAGCTTCAAACACAATCTTGGTGCAGGGAGTGTAAAGTCCCACTAACCTGCACAAGGCAACTCAGCAGGAACATCACCTTAACCCCAAGGGGTGAGACCTGGAGCTGCGTGGGGCTGTGGGCAGAGGAGACACGGGGGCAGCAATGGAGAATCCCAGCTGTTTATGCTGTGAGTGGTAGCTCCTGCTGTTAGTCGTGGGCACTTTGAGCTAAAATGCTGCCTCACACATCGACGAGCAGCAGAAGTGAAAGAGAAAAACAGACTGACTTGATTTAAAGTAAACATGAGAAAAACAAATCCACCCAAACCCTCACGCCGTGTTATCAGAAAGGTACCAGGCTGCAGGAATGCTGTGGGTTAAATTAGCTTGTAATAGCTGATTTTGAGTTGCATTTTTTTGCAAGAAAAGCAAATCAACAAATTTTTCTTAAGGACTGGAAAATGCCAAGAGCTGTAACATACTTCTTTTAAAGTTTGTCTTCAGAGATGTGAGGACAATTCAACAGTAAAGCTGAATTGTGGCCAAACATATCTGAGGAAGAGTCCCACATGGTGTAGTGGTCATTCTGCCTGGCCACACAAAAATTCTGGCTGTAGATCTCCCTCTACCCCCTTGGAACACCAGAAAATCTCCTTCCTGCCTTCCTGGGGAAAATTTCACCACTGGGATGCAGGGAAGGGAAAGGAGCACATCTGTGCACTTTCCACCTATCTCCTTTTCTTGGTGGGTTTAGACCAAGGAAGAACAGCAAATTAGTTTTGAGTCGAGGCTGGAATTGAATTAAAAGCCCTCTTTCACAAGCCAGGTTTTGGCTATTGCCAGCTTTGGCAGCCTGAGTGCCGGTGAGCTGGTGGGCCTTTGTGGCTGGATGGGCTCTCAGCCCAAGGAGCAGGGCCAGATCTGAGCCTGGGCACAGCTGCCACAGCAACAGGGGAGATTTTGGATCCCTTGGGCCACAAAGCCTCCCTTCTCCTGAGCCATCTGTGTATAGAGACAGACTTACACATTCACACGGGTTTGTTTTTCTTGCAGGGTGTGGCTTGACACTTCCTCTACTGGTTTCACTGGGTCAGAGATACGCTTTGCAATGAACAGGCAGGAGGTTTTCCTCCCTTTTGAAGAGGAAATCTGGGAAAAAGAAGCCCTGCCTTCTCCAGGCCCCAGGGGAGCATACTTGAGTGACCCTCAGAGAGCCCCCCTAATGCCCCCCACCACCCCCACACCCCCTCAGCATCGTCTTACTCCAGCTGGGCTGCCTTTCCTCCCTGGTGGGTGGGGGTTTCACTCTGCTTCACACTTGCCTTCCAGATCCATGGTTTGGCCACCATTGCTCTCTTATTTCATATCTACATTAATTAATTGTAAGTACATATACACAAATACATACATATATTTGTGTTATCTCTGTGTTTTGGGTATAATTCTGTCATACCACCTTTTCCATGGAGGGCTGGTGCAGGAGGGATTGCTGGTGCTCATTTCTCTGGCCTTTGAAGTGTGCACATCTCCGTGAGTCCCCTTGCCCACCACAGGCCGTGGCACTGGGACACATGGGAGGCTCCATGGGAGGTGAGGATACCTGCCTAGAGAAGCCTTGCTGGTCCCCAGTGTGTCCCCACTCTGTGACCCCCATTCCTCCTGCCACCTGTGTCATGCTGTGCCTGGACCCCAAATCACTACATCTCCCCCAAGTTTCCACATGCTCTCCCATGCATCTCACTACTTCTCCACACGTCCTGCTGTCTTTCCACACCTGTCCTTCCATGTTTGCCTACATGCCTTGCCACACACCCATGGGTCTCCTGTGTACACCCATGGGTCTCCTGTGCCCCACATGCACCTCCCCTGCATCCCACCTGTCCCTTTGCACCTTCTTAAGTGTCTCTGTGTGCCACACGTGCTTCCCACACCCTTCCCACATCCCACCAAACCCCCTGCACGTCCCCAGTGGTCCCCAAAGCTTGTCCCACTATGTCTCCATGCCTGTCCCTTGCACCCTCCTTGTGTGTTCCCTACCAGCTCTCCCTGGGCAGTGGAGTCTGCTGACATCTTGGCACACTGTGCTACCAAACCCTGAGGTGTCAGTTCCTGATTTTGGGAGAAGCAAGGTTACCATCTAAGATGAAAGCCAAAACCCCTTTCCTCTCACGAAAAGCACTACTTGTTTCAAGCCCATGTGAGCACAGTCTTGAGTGTTTTGGTGTAAATTGCCTGCTTGTGACACACAAACCAGTTCCTGAAAGAGTGTAGCGGGCTCTCTGGCTGCTTTGGTCTGGGGCTGTCTCAGCTTTCAGGATATAACACGTCCCCAGGAATTATTTCAAGCTGTAGCAAGAAAACACTTGGCAAACTCTGTCCAGCTGCTTGCAGTAGCCCTGAAACAAGATCTGTGTTGTGAAAGTATGACTAAAGATGGCAGGAGAGAGAGGGTGCCCCATGGCATAGCTCCATGGCCAGGTGACTTCTACTGTAAATAATGTAGATTGTTATTGACAACCGAAAAGCAATAAACCTATTGCAACATGCTTTTTAGGCCAGCTTTTGGCTGGCAAACAAGGAATGTGATGGACCTTCCCAAGGCTGGTATTCTGGTGTTTGCTTAGGGTATTGACATTTTATATCCCATTGTTAAAGGCTGGGAAAAAAAGTCAGTTATTGATTGGGACAGAGCTATCTTTGTGGAAAGGCGTAGAGGCCTCCTTTTCATATTGTTTGCATGCTTTCTCATTTACTGGGTGTGGAGAGAGAAAGGCTGTGTCCATGATGCTGTGTGGTGCACAGACCTCCCACCCTGCGTGGGCACTGAGGTCACAGCATGGCTGATGGAGAGGGCCATGTTGTGTGGGTTAGACTGCTTTCACATCCAGCCCAGCATCCATCTCCAGATGTGGCCAGTTGTTTTGGGAGGAGGGAGGACAGGGTTTGTAATTCTTGCCCTGCCAGGCTCTGAGATCTTTGTTCACTTCCTGCAAGTTCCTAGTGCTTGACCTGCTTTCTTGACTGCTGCCGAGGGCTGAGCTCGTGCTTTGGCGGACGCTAAACAACCTGGCTCTGGACCAGCAGTGGTCTGTGCAGAGCCCATGTGAGCCCAGGACCCTTTTTTCCCCCCTCCAAATATCTAGTTTTGCAGTTGTATGTGTTGGATTTGTTCTGCCCTTTGACCCCTCACCGTCTGCAGTTCTCACAGCCTGTCCTTGTCCTCAGACAGCTCCTTATCAGTGGCCAGCCCTCTCTCCTCCCTCCTCACCCCTTTTCCAGGCCGTTTACGAAGGACTGAGCAGCCGAGGTCACTGCACAGAGCCAGACCCCAGTGGAAGGTCACTGCTATCACACTGCCATATGAGAACTGGCTGTCTTCTCCTGACCTCCATTTCCTGTTTTTCAGCCCGTTATTTGTAGATAGCAGGACCCGCTTTCTTATGCCTGAGTGGCTGCATTTCCTGAGGAGATTTCTCTGCAGCTTCATTTAATCCTCAGCAGCTTCCTGGGCTAATGGAGCTGTTGTGCCCACAGGGGTGGTGTGCTGGTCCCAGCTTGCCTGAGCCTTGGGATGGTGGTATATGTGCCAGCAGGTCCAGAGCCACCCCACTGCCTTGGTGTCTTTGGTAGAAACATGAGTGTTTTGGGCCCTCCCTGCAGTCACTGCAGGGCAACAACTCCAGACTCTCCAAGAGGCTGGTCTCTTCCCATCATCCAGGGCATTTTCAGGGGGCCCTGCAGCCACCAGCCCAGGGCTGAACAGCAACCAGCAACAGTCTCAGCTCAGCAGAAGTCTGTAAGACCATGTGGCCTAATTTGGTGTATGTATACGTGCTACCAAAACCATTGTGGTTTCTGAACAAGCCCAGGTGATTTTGCAGCTGGGATGGGGTTCAGGGCACATGTTATTAACACTGCTGTTTAGCTCACGTGGTGGTGAGTCAGGTCTTTGTTAACTCTGCTCTTTCCATTTCTCCTTGTTGCCATCAAGCACTCAAGGTTTATCACCAGCACTGGGATGTCCTTCCCCAGCAGCACTTGAGGAGTCTGTGCAGTAGCTGCAGCACCAGGGTAGAACATACTGGATAGGCACGGCTTGCTTCTCTTTCCACAGCTCCAGATGACAAAAATAGCACAAAATGGTCACAATTCTCCTATTGTTTTATTTCATGATCATTTTATTCTCCCTCCTTTCTCTGCCCCACTGAGGGACATTTTGGCAGTTTGCAAACACCCCCCTGTTCACATTCACTGAATGTTACTACAGGCATTTCTTTCATGTGACAGCTTGAAAAAGGGATGTGAAAGCTTTCCTTCTTGTCTTCCTGGCCTTTCCCTCCATCATCTGACCCTCATGAATGCTCTCCAGCAAACAGTTTGCCTTTCTTGCATGGTAGAATCTGGAAATAATTGCCTGCCACAGCACTTACTTCTATCAGTGAATAAGCTTGTGTAATTTGCTCCACAGTTCATTTTCTTAGCTCAGAAATGTGCTTTTATTTTTTTTTAACCATTTCATATAGTCTGTTTATCCCCACAATTCATTGTTGCCAATAAAGTAGGAAAATAAGGGATAATCACCGCTTAAATGCTTTAAAACTAATGCCATGTGTGGGGAAAAAAAGCCCCAACCAAACAAGGAAAACATCCTACCATCCTCAAAGGAATGTGCATCCAATGTGCTCTAGCCAAAGCACTGGCTTTTTCTGATGGATCTTACAAAAACTCAAGGTCCTGATAATCTGACAAGCCACAGTTTGATTCTTTGAATCCCAACCACAGCTAAAAAATTGGCTGACTTGTATCAGAGGCTCTGTAGTTATGGTTATTGCTGATCATTTGTTTGTAATTGGTATAGCAAGCTCTGGGAACAGCAAATGTCATAATCCTGTCACTGTATAGCTCCAAGGAGATTGCTGATAAATAACAATAATATACACAAACATAATGGATACAGGCAGCAGCCAAACAGGACAGTAATTGCTGTCTTGGTGGAGCTTATTAACTTAAATCAGGCAGAAAGAGATTTTGTGAATGGATGCCACCTTTGTAATTTCCTGGAAAAAAAAAAGGCCAATATACAGCTTTCAAAAGATGTGTCCTGAGAGATGTGCTTCATGTGACCAAGATATATGTGTGTCTTTTTTTTTTGTTTTGTTTTGGGTTGTTTTTTTTTTTTTATGGTGTCTAGTATTTGCCCCAGAACTGGCCACAGAGACTAAATTGGCCCTGTTTGATCTGATTGTCACTATGTCCCAGCCCCTATCAGAGCATGTTTCATCACTTAGCAGTGGATCTGCACTCAACCCCCTGAAGTGACCCAAACCCAGCTGACCTGAAAGTCCTCCCTAAATCTGAGATTTTGGGGTTTTTTTTTTTTTTTTTTTTTTGATGGTGTCTAGTATTTGCTCCAGAACTGGCCACAGAGACTAAACTGGCCCTGTTTGATCTGATTGTCACTATGTCCCAGCCCCTATCAGAGCATGTTTCATCACTTAGCAGTGGATCTGCACTCAACCCTCTGAAGTGACCCAAACCCA